TTATTGCAATGGGCTGTAGAGAGAATGCTGATGCATTTCCCCCCTTCAACTTGCAGACATTAATTTTCTCCAAAAGCCTCCACGCTTATAGCCGATTGCAGTAAGGATATTAAGTTGAAGAAAAAAAGATTTATAGTTTGAACTCGAAAGAATCCCTAAGGTGACACATTTGTTCCAGTGCCACTTGCATCGGTCGAGTGGCTGCACTAAACGTTGCTTTGCTACCTTTTTTAAAATGTCTTTTTTCTCATGTTATTCACATAATTTATCTCAATTTACGCGAGTAAGACCTGTCACCGTCCGAGAGCAGGCAATGCCTCCTGGTCAGGTCTGCACCCACCTGTTCGGCAGACTTCGCCAGGCAACCCGCCCAGTTGCCGGGGCCTCGAAAGCCGACAATTTCACGCACCAACAACAGCAACAGCAACAACAATTCAATTTAACCAGTTGTCGGCCGTCCACCAAGGCTGCCTGTTGTTATGGCGACGAATTCGCAAGCGTTCATGTGCATATGCGAGCGACGGTGGTGGTCCTTTTCCGATATCCGAGACCGTTGCAGAGGCGGTTGCTATCGGCTTGGTCTTGCGGAGCGTGTTGTGAAGTGTTGAAGGCCCAAGTGCCTGGAGCCGCAATGACGGACTCTGCTCAAACCTCGGCAAAGCAGGACTGGCGCTCCAAACCCACCATTTGGTGGGACAAATACGACTTTACAAACGCGCCCGTTTGCGTGATTGATGTGTTATTACATTGACATGATGTGGAAAGAGGAAGGAAGCCCGAGTGCTACCAGCCAAAAATACACAAATTCCATCGAAAGCGTTGGTCACAAATGCCTAAACTTCTCGAAACATGAACCTCTTTTGGGGTCTGAATGCAAGGAAACGAATCATACAGGCTTTGTGGATTGGATACAAGTGAAGTGAAGAGGGGGACCCAGCAGTTTTCAAGCCCGAATGACGTGGCATGTCTTAGAGCCAATTCAAATGTTGGCTCGAATGTAACGAATAATTGCTTAAACATGTTACTGTCCATTTTATTTAATTAGAAAAGGGACTTTACTTCATATTTTTTGAAGTAGACTGAAATTACCTGATGACAGAGAGAGAGAGAGAGAGAGGGGGGCTCAGCAGCATTACTGACGACCCTCTGACTTTATCCCTTCACCCTCAAAATCAACTCTCCTATTCCCCCCAGCCCCTCAACAATGCACATTCGGCCAGGCAGAATGGGGCTCTCGCCAACCGAACAAGCAGACTCCCTTCCGCCCAAGCGACAGTCTGTCGCGGCCGGTCGACTTCACACTTGCCTTTTGAGGAAGTGGTCTGGTGGACACAAGAAATCGCCTGATGCGACTAATTAAAGTGGAATTATCAAAAGTTTAACAAATAACAGCTCTTTTGATACGATGCCTCCTGAATTAGGATTACAGTGTGCCCAACTTTAGACACACACCTTCTCGGTAAATGGCATATTTTTCGGTCAACAGTGCCTACATTGCAGGGTTTAATATGCCTGCTTGAATAGGAAAAGATGTCCTGTAAGACACTTTGCATTATGTGAATTGAGTAGAGCTGTAAACCCTGAGCCATTTGAAACGAGTTATAAAAATACGTTTGAAATGTATCATACTACTACTATACTACTCATTACTGCCGGAATGCTAATCAGCCTGATCCGATTTCAGTGAACAAATCACACTGTCCGTCGGATCAATAGCCATGCATACACGTGCGCTGATTGCTCACACAGTTGGTCCTTCCACATACACAGACTCGCATGTATTCGGTTGAACCTGAAACAGCAACTGGCAAGCGACCAGACCGGCGAGCCAGTTGTGGGGTTCGCTCGAACGGAGCCATTATTCCCTCCTCTTCGGACGGTCCAGAGCAAAAGGTAAAGTGGGCAGAGCAAATGTCCGTCTCCTCCTTTGGCATTATTGCTTCTCTGTGGGTAGGCAATTGTACATTGCTGGTCTGCGACCTCCATTTTGCCAAAAAATGGTCCCCCATATTCTCTGCTAGCGCATCTGCTGTCCTTCTTAGTTGGCTACATATTTGGCCTAATTAAAACAAATGCATTTATGCGCTAACTGGCACAGCAGACTGTTGACCGGAATAGGCCAGGCGGAAAGGGTAATTGGTGACTAGAAGAAGAGGAGTCGCCTGATAATTGCATCATCAGCGCACGGAGCCTTAAAGAAGCCGACCGGCTGCGAGTTCCCTTCGAGCATAAAATGCAAGTTGTCTTGCAGAAATTGTGCTTGAAGAAGCCGCTTGCCAAAACCCAATTGTATTCTCTGCTTTCTGTTCATCCGTCATTCTTATCAAACAAAATGAGGTAAAGAAGAGACCAGTGCTGCTATACTATTTTGGTAGCATACAAAAGCAGAACTTAATAAAAAGCTAAAAGCCCAACAGCCAGCAACCGGATACTAAGTAGCTCTTGTCTTTGTTTGAAGTTTTGGCCATCTCAACTTTGCACAATCGCACCTTGAGGCTACGAAAGAACCCGTTAGACGTCTAAGAGTCAACCGTGGTGCAGACACGACAGCTTTGGCCGCCTGGCTCGGATGACTCCTCTTCACGAACCTCTTCAAAATGGTCGTCTCCCTTTTGGTTCCAGCTTTCAGAGATCCCATCTGTCCTCTCGACATTTGTAAAGTCAACGAGCTTGGGAATGCTGAAAGGGAAGAATTAGTCTGACCTTATAAAAGATGTATTCACCCAATTCGGTTTAAAGTGATGAAGGACTGGTAGTAGAATTTTCCCACATTGATATGAGTAGAGCTGACGTTTCCATTGAATTTTACATAGCTTTGCTTTTCCAAAAGTTGTCCTAATCCTTAAACGAAATTGGGTGAATACATTTCATATTGAGAATTTACTTTATTTTTCGAATTAAGTATTGTTTTCGTGACTACCGGTAAATCAGTAGTATGAGATGTATTCACCCAATTCCGTGTAAGGTACTGAAGGACTGGTAGAAGTAGAATTTGCTCACAAATGATATGAGTTGACCTGACGTTTCCATTGAATTTTACATAGCTTTGCTTTTCCAAAAGTTGTTCTCATCCTCAAACGAAATTGGGTGAATACATCTCATATTGAGAATTTACTTTATTTTTCGAATTAAGTATTGTTTTAGTGACTACCATTAAATCAGTAGTATGAGATATATTCACCCAATTTCGTTTGAGGATGAGAACAACTTTTGAGAAAGC